TGGTGCCCATTCAATGCCAAAGTGGGGTGCCAGGGCTTCCCTTCCCTCCTGAGCCCTCTCCCGGCTCTTGGCTGGGGCTCTGGCTGTCTGTGTTGTTTCTGAACATCTGGATAGTGCTGGGAGCAGTTTGTCTTGCTGGGACAAGGGCACGGCCATGGACATCACTTGGTCCCCCTAGAAGCCTCTGCAGAGAGCCTGGGGCTGGCAGGTGAGGCAGGTCTGTCCCCTCCTGTCTAACCTGGTCCCCTGTCCCCCTCAAGGATGCCGACAGGTTCACGTTGCCATCCCACTTTGAGGAAGGCAAGGAGAAATGCCCGTACGACCCTGCCCGTGGCTACACCGGCCTCATTGTGGGTAAGCAGCCCCTCTCCCAGGGCTGGTGGGGACATGCAGGATGCCACTGACCCTGGTCCCGGCCCCAGTGCTCCCATGGGGGGTCCCGAGCTGGGTGGGCTCTGCATGCGGGGGCCTTAGCAAACCAGGACTTGGTCTTCCTGCTCCTCCTCTGCCTGGGGCACAGGGATGCTGTGGCTTTTTGGGCAGTCCCCGTGGTGGGGGCCATGCTGACGGGTGCCTGCCCTGCCCAGACGGCGGCTTGTACACGGCCACACGCTATGAGTTTCGGAGCCTCCCCGACATCCGTAGGAACCTGCACCAGCGGCCACTGAAGACGGAAGAGTCCCCTCTGCACTGGCTGAACGGTGAGAGGTCCCTGTCCTTGTCCTCCCACCTGGGCCAGCGTCACGGGCCATGGGATGCTGTGCACTGCCGCAGGGAGAGGCATGGGGGCTGGCCCTGGGGTCCTGTGTGGTTTGCCATGAGAGGGGCAACTGAAGCAGGGAGGGATCCCGCATCCTGTGTTGGGTCCCCAGTCTTTACCTCTCACTCCACATCCTCCAGATGCTGAGTTTGTGGCCTCTGTGCTGGTCCGGGAGAGCAAGGACAGCCCTGTGGGTGACGATGACAAAATCTACTACTTCTTCACGGAGCGGGCAGGCGAGGAGACCACGTCCTTTTTTGACAAGAGCCACGTGGCCCGAGTGGCCCGGGTTGCCCGTGTCTGCAAGGTAGGCATGTGCCCAGCCACGGGGAGCCAAGCGCTGCTCCTCCCAGCCCAGGGGCTGCGCACCTGCACCTTGGGGGCAACTGCAGCACAGGCAGAGAAGGGGACGCACCACCAGCAGCCTGTGCAGAAACGCTCCCTGCACCCTTCTAGAGCGACGTAGGCGGGAAGAAGATCCTGCAGCGCAAGTGGACGTCCTTCATGAAGGCACGCCTGGTCTGCTACATCCCCTACTACGAGGTGCTGCGCAGCGTCTGCAGCCTGGACAGCGGTGGCTGGGCCAGCACTGTCTTCTACGCTGCCTTCACGCTCTCGGCGCAGTGGTGAGTGGGGCAGCACCCAAAGCGGTGGGGGCTAAAAGTCTGCAGCATGGGGAGGGTCTGGAGACACCTGGGATGAGCAGGCGGGTGCCAAGCACCTGCGGGGGTGTCGGTGGGGGGCACCCCTGCTTCTGCCCGGACTCAGGCTCTGCCTCCCAGGAGGACCATGGAGGCCTCGGCCGTGTGCCGCTACAACATCTCGGCGGTGCAGCGTGCCTTTGAGGGCCCCTACATGGAGTACCAGGACTCGGCTCGCAAGTGGTCCCGCTACGACGGTGCGGTGCCCGAGCCCCGGCCCGGCTCCGTGAGTGCCCGGGGGTGCAGAGCATGCGGGGCGTGGGGTGGCCGCATCCCTTCCTGACCCCCGTCTCCCCTGGGCAGTGCATCACGGACCACTCCCGCAGGAAGGGCTACAACTCCTCGCAGGACCTGCCCAACAGCGTCCTGGACTTTGTTAAGTTGCACCCGCTGATGTTCGAGGAGGTGAAGCCGGCCGGCGGGGAGCCGCTGCTGGTGAAGAAGAGCGTGGCGTACAGCCGGCTGGCCGTGGACAGGGTGCAGGCCCTCGACGGACGTGCCTACGATGTGCTCTTCATGGGGACAGGTGAGCGCCAGATGAGTCTGCCGGGTCTGCACTGGGCCAGGGGGACGCAGCACGCTCCCTCCTGACCCCCCTGCTCTGCTGCTCCAGGGGACGGCTGGATCCACAAGGCCGTGGGGGTGGGTTCCAGCATCCACATCGTGGAGGAGGTGCAGGTGTCAGGGACCCGCAGCCTGTGGAGAGCTTGGTGATCTCCCATGCCCAGGTGAGGGGTGGAGGAAGTGGTGGTGGTGGGGAGAATGCACATGGGGCTTGTTTGTCCTGAGAAGCTGCCGTAGGGCTCTCTAGGGGATGAGTGGCACAGACTCCTGGGTGATCTCAACTCGGGATATATACCAAAGCCTAGGAGGGAAGCCTGAGGAAAGGGAGCAGCTTGGCCCCCACCTCCTTGCCAGGTGCTGGCTGCAGCCGTCAGCACCAACCAGAGCTGGGTGCCCTTGTCCATGCACCCCCACAAAGGGAGAGCTGCACTGTGGGGCCGGGGAATCTCTGGGCACTGTGGGGCACCCCACGGCCCAGCTGCACCACACCAGAGTAGTGCTGAGCCAGCCCTTTCTCCCCAGAGGAGCCTGTACGTGGGGGCGGCCAGCGGGATCCTGCAGGTGCCTCTGGCTTCCTGCGCCCGGTACGCG